GGCTCCACCAGCCTGCAGATCTCGTGGTGTGGGGGTGGCATTTTCAAGAGTGCTGAGCTGGGACCACAAGCACCCCCACAAGCGGGGCAGATTTGTGCAATGCAGCAACGAAGGCTCTTTCAGAGGGGGAGGATGTGAAATTGGGGCTGCCCCTGGTAAAAGCCCCTTGTGCGCACGGTCCCCCACCCTGTCTGGGCTGGACCGTCGGTGAGAAACCCCTCTGGTGGTACTGCTGAGAGCAGGGAGGCTGGAAGGGCGGGGGATAAGAGCAGGGGTCTGGGGCACGGCGGGGCTGCCGGGAGGAGGAGCAAAAGGATAGAGGGAATGTCACAAACAAAATATAAAATCAGTATTATTTCAAAACTGGCCGGCAATAGGAGAAAATCACGTATTGTGGCAGAGAGGCAAGAGCATGCGAGGAGTGCTGCGTGGGTGCTTATGCTGACAGCACAGCAGCAAAGCAAATCCTATAGACCGCCGCGATGAACATGTAAGACCCGCTGAAGCAAACCAAGCTTAGCCCTGCCCAGGCTCAGCCCAACAGCCCGCGCTCGGGGAGCCAGCCTGCGGGGTCAAAGTCTCTCCTCTTTAAAAGAGGATATTAAGAAAATATATCTGGAGGAAAAATTGGCTGTAGCAAAAACCATGTCCTATACCTTATAGAGAACCTGTCAGTATACGGAGGAGGAGACGAGTGGTTTCCAGAGTTTCTCCATCTGGAATATGAACTGGACTAACTATTCACAGTGGAGGACATATGCTCTGAATTCACAGCTGCTGCCATTTACTTGATGATGCTTTTAACTGTAGTATTCACCCAGCTGGCTGAGTAATTGCGTTTCACATGTTTGCTAGCTATATATCACAAAATCCATACAGGACTTTAGCCATGAACAAAGCTTTTTTTCCCCATAATGTGACCTATTCAGTTTGGGGCTAACTTTGAGAAAACAGAAATTGTTAATTTGGGAACAGATACTGCTGTGGAAGAAAACCAAAGGAGAGCAGGGGTGTGGAAGCACACAGATCCCTGACCATAATAAAAAGACAGCACATGTGGGAAGCTCAGATCCTCAATCAGATTCTAATTTCCAACCTGCTCAGGGCATCCCAAGTAACTTCTCCAGCACGATGATTGGGCTTTGGCTCTGCATAAGCAAAAGTGGTGTCTGTAATTCGCTGATAGTCCAGAAATGAGCAGAAAATGGGGATCCTCATAATGCCTTTAATTGGGGTAGTTGCTGTTGCTGAGGGCAGCATTTTGTGAAGTTTCGTTCCACATGTTTGCTAATAAAAAGCTGAATGTAAAAAAAAAAAAAAAAAGAAAGCCCACTCCCTAATTTGGATGTTTTGGAGAAAATCATGTTCTTGGTCAGGTGACTACCATGCTTCTTGTTTATATACATTGCCTAATGCCACCTAATGAAGCCAACCCCAAAAAAATCAGGAAAGCTAATCAGTTTTCAGGTAAAACAGTCCTGCAGCGTCCTTGTTAAATTGCCAGCAGTGACAGCTGATGGAGGGAGCATCACTTGCCTGGATGGTCCTTCCCTTGTTCCTGTGCACTAACCATGGGGTAACGCGTTGCTGCAAGGGGAGCTGCGCTTGACGCGGAAGAACGATGTTGATGGCCAGACCGCCGATGCAAAGGCTTTCCTGGCCGCGCGTCTTCTGCGGCCGTTCGCCACCCCCCGAGGAGGGAGGTCCTGAAAAACAAGCGCGGGGGAAGAGGGATGTAAAACAGATGTTGCTGCATTGGCAGCTGCCTGCGCCCTGCGAGGTCCCACCGCGGTGGTTTCGGGTCCTGGGCTTGGACCCGCTGCCGTCCCTGGGGCTCGCCCTGCGCTCTGCAAGGCCACGTTTTTGGGGCAACGCATGTAAGCGTGTTTGTGCAATATTGTTAGAGCTGCTGTTTCTCCTGCTGCATATACCCCTGTAACCCTTCCTTTCCTTTCCACCCTGCAGGACTTCTCACATATGTCGTCTGAGTTTCAGAACAGCGTTGGACCTCGTTCGCCTGGTGCATCAAACCCTCCGGGAAGCACTGAGTGGGACAACGACTACCCCAGCAGAGAGTGTGGGATTAACCACTGCAGGCCAGTAGACAAATAACACATTGCTAATGCACTTTCTATTATCTGAACTGCGACAGCGTACAGCAGCTGAGAATCTGCCCTAAAATGTCCAGCAAGCTGGTAGGCTCATTAAGGACAAGGAAGTTCAAGGTTTCCTCTTCTCTATGGGCTCACTGCAGTGATGCTATGGAAGCAGGTAGCTTAAAAATCACAGATAAATTCTTCACTGGGCATGAAGAGGTTTCCTTTTTTTGTGTTTCCATCCCATTAGCAGTGGAGGAGTTGACACTATTCCTTCTAGAGCAGGCCAGGGAAGCCCAGTCTCCCAAGCAGAGTCCCTGGAGATTTGAAGGTGGCCGTGTCCATAAGCAATGTCCTTCTCTTCCTACAGTGATTGCTGTTATCGCTGAGGCTGCAACCTCCCATAGTTGTCTCTAGCGACGCGTCCCTTATCGGTCCTGGGGTTTCACCACGATAGTGTACAAAGGCTCCCAAGAGCCACACGATGCCCCAGTCCCTGGCACCTTGCAGGAAAAGGCCACAGACGTCTGCACAGATCTTCCCCCTTACGCCCTACAAGCATGAATGTGCCAGCATGAAGGTCCCTTCAATGCTGCTTGAATTCCCCAATAGATAAAAACATCAGGACAGTCTCAAAGCTGGGGAACAGGGAGGATGCGAAAGCCATTTCCAGTCTCTGCCTAATCCACTGCTCTTGGCTCAGCAACAATAGCTCGGAGGCAGCTATTGTGCTCTGTACCATGGGCACGTGGTTTGCTGGGAGAGCAGGTAGGGAAGGAGGCTGGGTAGCTTCTGAGTATTGTTTGATTTGCTTGAAGTACTGGAACATAGAGCTTTCACTGGAGATAATAGCAAGCTCCCAGCCTTCTCAGAGCACAGCTCCTGTCTGTGCCAGCAGTGCACTTACAATTTCTGGGCTGGGCACAGACTGTACAGATATTTATTTCTTTCAGGGAAATAAATAGCTTGCTGAGCCATTAGAATATCACTGCTGTCTGCCTGCCGGAGGGGGCTCAGCTATGAGGACTGGTCTGGGCTCTGCCAGCGACCTTTGCGTGGTCCTTCCTGAAGTCTCTGCAGAAAACCAGAAAGAAGGAGCTTGTTTGGGACTTGACGATAAAAGTCACTTTAGACGCTGTGGGCAAAATGCTAAAAGAGGCTTGGAGGGTAATGGCACACGGACCCCCATTTCCAGAGGTGCTGAGCACAGGCAGCTCCCACAGAAATTAGTCCCCTTAGAAGTAAGCATTGCTACTTAGGAGATCGGCTGGGAAAGCACTTGATTCCCTCCGCAAATCCCGCTGCCTGGGCCCCATGCTGAAAACTCAGGGCACTCTAGAAACGGGTGAGACGCTCCCATAGTAGTCAGGATTGAGTTTTGTGTTGCTAAAACAAGCTCTGTGACATCTGGCTGGAGTGCAGTATTGTAAGCAGAGGGCCCATGCAATTCATGATCAAAGCTCATGCATTTCATGCCTTTGTCACAGCAGAAATATCAAATTTCATGGGTTTATCACAGCTTCCTGGAAAAGAAATCATTCTAAAACCAGACAGATTATGCAGAGACTTCCAGATAATTATTTAGAGTAGATTATAGCAATGAACTCAGATGGGTATAGATCAGTACTGCAGCGAGCACTTAGTGCACTGAAAAATGTCGTAGTCTCTGTTAAGGAAGGAGCCCATCACCCCTGACGAGGGACATACGAGTTGCTGGCAGCCCAGCTCCCAAAGCTGGCTTGTTCCCATTTTATTGTAAAGCCTGGTGCGTCAGCAGTGCCGTCACCTCCTGCTCCTGCTGGCCCCTGGTATTTGCTGCCTAAGCGCCCGCTCTGCGTCGCTTGTAGCATCCACACACATTTGCAGGACTGCAGCCCCGGTGTGTCTCAAGGTTAGAGTCATGTCGAGAAAAGAGACGATCTGGTTCTCATCATCTTCCTGTCTGTACTGCTTTCTCCAGTAGACTTTTTGCACTAATTTGCAAGCGAGGTTCAAAGTTGCGGGCTCCTCCGTGGGACCTTGTGAGGGTGCAGGGTGAGCCGTGTGCCCAGCAACCAGCGGGGCTTAGGCAAAGCGGTGAGAAAGTCACGGCACATCTTGTTGGCTTTGATTCATCGGCACAGTTTTAGGTATAATCGGGAAGTCTCTGGATCACGTAATTGCCCATTTCAACCTCAAAACTGCATTCAGCTTAATTGCAATTAAAGCAGCACTCTGAGGAGCAAAATCAGCAACTGGCTGGAAATAAAAGGGATTATTTTCTGTTCTGATGTGGCTGAGCTGTAGAGTCCCAGATCCCTGAAAGAGAGGATCGTACCGACCTGCCCAGCACACAGGCAGTCCTGTCTTGCTCTCTGGGTCAGGATTTTTATTTCATGTCTGACCTTGTATTTCTCTAGCTTCCAACATGCATTGGCACTGGGTTAGCTGGGGTAAAACCTCCCAATCCTACATTTTCTTTGGTGTTTGTCATCCAGACAACTTCTGAAAAACTAACAAGGTTGTCTTTCTCTCTGTCCTTCTCCATCTAATAAGGGAACTGCTCTAGGGATTTTTTTTCCCCAGCCTATCAGTGCTAGTTAAAATACCATTAAATGACACCTCTTCCCTTGTGCCCCTCAGATTCTGGGATCCTGTGAGCAGACACTCCTTAATTCATAAATCAGCCATGTTAGAGAGAGTTGTTAATGTTTCTTTGCCCATCCTCTCCCCACTCTTAAGGATTTTGTGCTTACTGGCTTCCATCCAATTTTTCTAGCTCTTTCTGGGCTTAAGCCCAAGCTGTCCTAGATTGCTAGCGAAGACACGGGTAGCATTTCTCAGTTCCTGCTTAGTATATGACTATCACTTCCCACAAGCAATTGCAGCATACAATTTTATTGCTTTTTGCCATCATATCACAAGCTACTTATATAGTCCCCTGTCTCCCTCACCTGACAGCGTTATTCTCGCACTTGCTCTTTCCCGCTGAGTACCAGTGTTCGGCAGCGACTCTCTCCGAGGGAACTAGCTCGCCTGTATCAAGGGTGCAGCTTGGCTTACAGTCACCTGAAAATCTTTCTTAATTCCTCGAGGCACTTCACTCATTTCTTCTGCCCTGTCTTCTGATTACAGCTCTTTCCATCCCAAAGCTGTCTCCAGGGTTTCCTTTACCTTTGTCTCCTAGCATTTGGGTGTTTTGGTGATAGCACTGAGCTGGATTCATCTTTCTGTGTCCTTCCACTCATTTGCAAGGCACAGATTAGCTTCTTTTTGTGTACCATCATTCAGCAGCTTTTCTCCCCTCTTCCCACTCTCCTTTCGGCTAAAAGACGGGGTGCTCTCAGGTATGCCTTGTCCAGATGCACAAAACTGTGTACAGCCGCTTCGTCCAGACACTTACAACCTTGCTAATTCCTGCTAATGATGAAACGATCCACTCCAAACGGGAATTTTCCAAAACAGAAACTACATGAGCGAACGCTGTAAAAAGGCAGGGATAAACCATCACAAATGCACTGAGTTTGGGTTCAATTATTTATGGTAGTACTTTGTAATGAACTGGGAAACGTTCTGTAGCATATTTTGTAAAATTAATGAAGTTTAGTGCTCGAATACCTCACTGCTGCTCACTGGCATTAAATCTTTGCTGAGTGCAGTAGGGAAGACTCTGCGTTTTAAATGCAGATTATAAAACGTGGAGATTAACAAAATGCGGACTCTCCTCCGCTCTATCAGAAGACGGCTCTCTATCAACAAACGCATTGCCATGCTGTCTGCTATTTCCCTATTGTTCCACTGTGAGCACACCCACACCGGAATCTCCCAAAGCGTTGTAATGTTCTTCACCCCCTTTTAAGGCCAAGATGTCTTTACGGAGCCAACGATGTTTCTGTCAGTCTATGTAGATGATAGAACCCATTAAAACGCCTGGATTTCAGAGCAAAACCCACGCAGGACGTCAGCCAGGGGAGAGGGACTTCAGCCGCTCCTCTCTCTGCTGTGTCCTGAAGAAAAGAGCATCTGGGCTCCCTCGTGGGACGCTGCTGACGGCCCGTTAGACGTGCGAGCCTGCCCACACTGCGGGTTGAAGCGCCGGGTGCTACAGGCAGGGCCGGGAGCGGTGATGCCTCTCTGCACGCCTGGCTGTGCAGCCGTCGGCGCGCGGGGCGTCTGGGCGCTGTAAGCTGTCTTCCCTCTCCAGGACACACCCGGATCTTGAAATCAAAGTCACTGGTTCAGTAACGTGATCGATTCAAGATCTGGCGGGCCAGGGCTGTGCAGAGCACGCAGCCTGGCTGCTGTCCCACCAGCGCTCCTCCATAGCCTCCTGTGAGTAAGGCAGCACCGCAGTCTTCCTTGGGTTCCTCGTACCTCCTGCTGTCTGCATCAGGCCCACGGGAAGCACCAGCTAATCCTGCTGTCTCAAAGCATTTTCTCCCCTCACTCCCTGATTATTAGTTTTTCTAGCAGTACTTTTTCAGGGAGAGGAGGAGAGAGGCGTCGAGCAGGTGATGTCTCCTGCTCCCATGCCCTTCAGCCCTCAGACTTCTGTAAATCCTGCTGGACACCCACAAGCATCTTCAGGCATAAGCCCTTCAGTCATACTTTTGAGACCCCCTCTACTCCTTATGCATTGTCAGAATGACACATTTTATCCAAAAGCAAGTGTACATTTTCTAAATCTCCATGGCTTAGCCTAAGGACAGCGTGTGATGAAGGAGGGGACCGGTGCCAAGGGGCTGATTCCAGGCACAGCGCTCCACAGCGTGATGGTGGACCTGGTACCGGCATCAACCGCAACGTGGTCTGCAGGGAAATCCAGAGCTGGCCCTCCCCTGCAGCCCCAGCAAGAGCAAAAATTAAGCCAGAGGAAGGATTTTATGTCTTAGCCCTTATTGTTGAGAGTCAGGACGAGCAAAACTTGCACCAGGCTGTTACTCTGAAGTGCCTTCTGCTTGGTTCATCTCTGCACACCCGTCCCTCGGTGCGGACCACTTTACGTTTTGCATTATGGAGTGCCATAAAAACCACGGCGTGGCTGAAGACGGGTGTGCAACCGGGTGTGCAAATGCTGATTTCAGCTGCCCCAAGCGATTTCCTGGCCGCTTCCTTGCCCGTCTCACCTTCTGCCTCTCCTTTCTTCTTACAGCATGCTGCCAAGGGACAAGGCACTCTACCTCACCTAAAACTCAACATCTCTTTCCGAGGAGGCTCAGATGAAGGACACTTGAGAGGGTCTATCCTACAGACTACCCGGAGAGGCACCAAGCAAGTCGTATGGACGAGAGAGCTACCACTGTACCTCGTCGCTGGCTTCGTTTCCAGGCTCTAAGAGCAGTTTTCTTTTATTATTTTTGAACTCTAAAGTCTACTTTCCATGGCAGCCCAAAACCTCATAAATCATGAAGAAAAAAAAAAAAAAAAAAAAATAAAAAAATAAAAAAAAAACCACAAAACCAACAAAAAAAAAATAAACTAAGGACACCATTTTTCTGCTTGCCATCAGCTTAGCTACAGACTATTTTCCTAGTGAACTGCTTTTAGACGCAGCATAGGCCCAGGTCTGGTGTCCTACAGCATTAGGCCAGCTCAGTAGGAGGATGCACTCTTTTGACTTGCTAACAGCACTAAACTTTGTGCAAGAAAATGTGAAGTTTGTGTGAATATTGTACATGCAAAGGCCTTGGATGTCTGGCAAAAAAAAATACAAAAAATAAATAAAAACTATTGCTAGGTAGGTGGGGAGAGAGAGCAGAAGACAAAATACGAGAGCAAAAATGTGAAAAAGATCATGAAAATATAATTTGTTGGATAGTTGTAAGTAGTTTACTAAGTGTTTTAGAGCTGTGCTAAAGACATCTTTAAGATTTTTTTGTGAAAAAAATTAGTAGTTTACTTTATAGTAAAAGCATTTTATATTAATTGTAGCACATTTTTTAGTTATACATAGAAGGGAGATGTGTATAAAAAAACAACAAAAAAAAGCCTGCCAAACTTGTTTCTATTATTTGTACAGCAAGAAATGGACAATTTATATCCATGTTGTATGGCATTATTATATTTTTTCTGCCATATGTCCATCTATTTAAAAATTGCTGACAATGATTTTGTCTATTTATGAAAAATTAGAGAGCATAATTACAATTTCTCATAAGGTGCATTTTTGGTTTGTTTTTCTTTTTTTTTTTCTTATTTTTTATTTTGTTTGATGGTGCTGCTTTTGCAGCACCTGGCACATTCGGTTCACAATGCTTATCTTACCTTTCTTTATAATAAAACGTATGAAAAGTAGAAGTGAACCGGTCTCTCCTTATTCTGGGGGCACATGCGGCCAGCGAGGTCCGTGCCTTGTCCTTGTCCTCCTCAGCTTTCCCATCCCTCGCTCCTCCTCCGTCACGTTCTCGCTTGCGTTCTCTTCCTCCCCCCTTGCTCTGGGCCGATACTGCTTAATTAAATATATCTGCGGCCACCCCGAGCAATGAAAGCTATCGCGGAGCAACGGCAGGCAGACGAGCATTTTTCTTTCATTTTCCTGGAAAATGCCAACTTTACACTCAGCAGAGGGTGCTGTCCTGTCTCTGGAGCACAAGTCTTACGAGGAGCGGCTGAGGGAACTGGGGGTGTTCAGTCTGGAGAAGAGGAGGCTGAGGGGAGCCCTCATCGCTCTCTAGAGCTACCTGAAAGGGGGTTGTGGTGAGGTGGGGGTTGGTCTCTTCTCCCCAGTAACCAGCGACAGGACGAGAGGAAATGGCCTCAAGTTGCCCCAGGGGAGGTTTAGATTGGATATTAGGAAAAATTTCTTTCCTGAGAGAATGGTCAAGCATTGGAACAGGCTGCCCAGGGAGGTGGTGGAGTCGCCATCACTGGAAGTGTTCAAAAAACATGTAGACATGGCGCTTCAGGCCATGGTTTAGTGGGCATGGTGGTGTTGGGTTGGTGGTTGGACTTAATGATCTTAAAGGTCTTTTCCAACCTGAATGATTCTGTGATTCTGTAATAACTGTTTGCCCTGTAGATGTGCTTACAAAGCTATCCCGTGCCCCAGCCCTCTTGACCCTCCTCCCTTCTGCCAACCCTTGAGCAGGCAGAAAATGTCCTCACAGACATGGGGATCACCGAGCTGCCTGGTGGCCACCAACAGATGCCCACAGGAGCCCCATTTCCAATGTGGATGAGAAGGACACGAAAAGGATGGAAAATTCAAATGGCATAAAAAAATAACACGATGTGAAATTTCACACCCTGGGCCACCTGCCTGGAGGAAGCCCAGCCTGGCCGTAGGAGTCTCACCGCGTTGCGTCGCTAGCATACGAGCTACTGCCACTTAGATAAGGCCCACTTTCTCCCAGTGTGCATTTAAGTGGAAGCCTGTGAAGCTGGGGCGTTTCTCGTGCAGTTTGGGGCATCGGGTCTCGTTCAGGTCCAAGCACCACAGCTAAGACTCTATTTTTCCCCACTGCTACTCATCTATGATGAAAGCGGCCTTAACATTTATGTTCTCCGATGACTTGATATAACTTTTTTAAGCTTTCAGACCATTTTAATAAACCAGGGAAGAGCTCACCCTTCAGAGTTAAGGGTTTTTTCAATGAAGTAAATGATCGTTTTTATCGCCTAATGGCTTTACATATGCTACAAAAGCTTGCTGCCGTGCTCTGTGCCTGTTGCAGTGAGTCCCCATTAGAAGCCCCAGCTTCTGGCTCGCAGACCACGGGGCAGGGCAAGGAACGCGTGGTGGGAGTTGTCTGGCTGCATCCTCTGGCCAACGCCTGCCGTAGCGTCATCCCACACGCCTTGCTGGCACGTCAGACAAGACCCACCCCAGAATCCCACCCAGAAGCTGCCTGCTGTGGATGGGGCGCTGAGGAAGACCTTCTGGGACGGAGGGATGGTTTGGGGCAGGGTGGGTTTGGCCCAAGCAGTGCCCAGCCGACCACCTTGGGAGCTGGGAGAGGTGGCGATGAAGGCACTGTGGCAGGGGACAGCAAGTCCCTGGAGCTGCAGGACCCCGCAGAGGCTTCCAGAAACCCAGGCGGGTCACAGGCTGCTCCTGCAATCAGAGATGTAACTCTGTGAACCAACTTTCATTAGAGCAGTTGTGCGTTTAACCCCAAGCTTCCTGCACTCTGCGAGTATAAACAGCAAGAAGTGCCTGTTCCTTGTCCCACGGACCGTGGTGACTCCGTATTTTGTTCTGGTATAAGCACAGCAAGCTCTGACCAGCACAGCGCAGCGGTTGCACAGACGGGCAAGCGAGGAGAGCTGCTGGATAAAGCTATAGACGTGGGACTCTTCCTCACTGGTGGCCTCCTTAGGGCCGTGAAGCTCCCCTTTTGTCTCTGTAATCTTGAGCCATTTGAAAATAAAAAGTGGAGCGTAGTAAAACTTCCTAAGGAGCAGCGCGAGCAACGTCAGCGCAGCCCAGCGTGGCCAGCTTGTGGTGAGCATTAATGAGAAATTCTGAGATGTTTCAGATCGCTTTAATCCCACTAATCTGTAAATTTGCATGATGGCAGCTGTCCTTAAACGGTATTCCAGCTGTCGGCTATTTGTCGTGGACCTGGAATTGCTCCGGGGAAGCAACTGGGAGCGGAGCCTCCCGCCCGCCATCACGGCTGGCTCCCGAAATGCATCTCATCGCCGCTCACGGGTTGAGCCCCAGCCCCGCGGGCAGGCGAGGGCGAGCCCCCGGGCAACGGGCCGGGCAGCGATGGTGTGGCCAGGTGAGCCTCTCCTTGGTCTGAACCCTCGGTCTGTTGTTAACGTTAGTAGAAAATGTGGTATCTGGGTCTGACCTCCCCGTGCACCTCAGGGCAGGGTCAGCTCTTCCTGAGCATTCCCTCTGCGCCCAACCTCCCTTTAAAAAACTTCCAATTCCAGGCAGATAACCTAAATCCCTCTCCCTACAAAGCAAACCCCTTGCCATCGAACACGGGGAAGAATTTGTGGTTTCCTTGTTGCGGTAATTTTTTCCACATCTGAAGAAGGACGTTGGCTCTGCCCCACCTCCTCGCCCGCCGCCTGAGCCGGCGCAACGGCAGAGATTGTGTTCCCGGGCCCGATGAGCTGCGGGGCTTCGACTTCTGGTCAAGGAGCCCCAGCTAGAACCTCCAAAGGCTCCGAAAGGGCTTTGGGGCAGGACCCAGGCAGGGGTTCCCGGGTCTTGGGCTAGTGAGGGAGAGGGAAGTTAAGAGGCAACCTGGCTGATTGACTTTGGTTTATAAAGATGTAATTAGCAGCACTGTAGGATGTAACAGGGAGTTTAACAAATCTCATCCGTGGGATCTTGGTGGTGTTAACCCTTCGAGCACAGGGACTCGGCCCTCTGGGCTAGCCCACGCAGCCCCAGCTGGGGTGGGAAGCCTCTGGAGAGCTCACACAGAAACGGGGATACCCACTAGCACCCCACGGCACACAGCCTCGCGCACGCCCAGGGTGCCCCATGGGCCTCCGGTGTGCAGAAAGGGCCTGGCCTTTGGCTGTGGTTTCACCTCGGGCACCAGCCCGAGCTGCGCCCACAGCACGGGTCCACGGCCACAAATGCCCCGGCGGCACTGGGAGGACGGTTTGTCTTCGTTACATCTGTGTTATTATTATTAAGATGATGGAATGGAAGGGAAAACAGTCCTGACAAGCAATATTGAAAACTTTATGCAAGAAGGATCAGAGGAAAGGACTTCATTTGACAAATCCCAGGACCCTGACAACAGCAGGACGTGCTGGGAGCAGAAGGCTTGTGCCAGCCCCAGTGAGGTCCTGGTCCTTCACCACGGGCAGCTTTGCACCTCGGCAGTGTCCCCATTCCCCAAAGGTGCCGTCAGGATTCGGGCTGCTGGGCGGTGCGGGTGGCGAGAGCGGCAGTCCTCGCTGTGCTCCGGCTGGAAGCAGAGTGGTCCGACCTAGAGCAGGTCCGTAGCGAAGGAAACGCGCGACGGCGCTGGGGCCCAGCTCCCGGGACAGCCCCCACGCACAGCGCCGGCAGCCCGAGCTCAGGCTCAGCAGTGCCGTGCAAGCGGGCAAAGAGGTTGTGTGTCGGACCCCGCGCTGGCTGCGCAGCACCTCCAGCTCGTCACCCCAGATGTACCCGTGCTTGACAAAGGTGGTGGCCACCATCGAGGACTCCCACCTGTGCCACGACCCCACCGCTGGGGTCGATGGGGTCCCCGCTGCGCGGTGCGGGTGGCCCAGGTAGTTGGGATACGAGCCTCATCGCGGACACCAGGCGATGGAAGGGCTCTGCCTGTCAAGCAAGCGTGACCTGATGCACCTTTGCCATCTTTCTGAGGACAGAAGGGCCCAAAAGAGAGGCCGTGTCTTGCGGTGATGAACCGCGGTCGGTTTTGCTCCCATTTCGTACGCTCCACCCTGCAGTGGGAGGTTTGTGTGGCCCAGTCCAAAATACTCAGCCCCACCTTAGCAGCTCATCACCCAGCGCAAAGTAATTACTCCAGTACACCAGGAGTGCAAAATTATCAATCTGAACGATGATTTCTGAAGAAGAGGGATGGGAGGAATAACAATTCTTCTGGATGAAATACTGTGCTGGCCAGAAGGGTAATTTAGAGTCAGATTTGAGATCAGATGTTTTATCACTGTACCCTCAACTCCTCTTGGCTTTCAACTGCAATTTGATAAATCAGCATAATACCTGGCACAGTAATTACTGTAGATTTTATTCCTAGTGGGGTTACTTCATTACAC